CAGGTAAGAGCCCAGAGAGACAGGTCACTAGAGTCTGCAAGGCCGAGGGTCCCCTCCAGTACCCAGGGGAGGACAGCAGAGACCAGGGAAAGTGACACCAGGGCTCATGCAGGGTCGGGACGGCTCTTGCACCCTGAGAGGCCACCCGCGTACCCCTCGGGGCCCTGGGGAGAGGACTCGAGCACCCCCCTCAGCTCTGGGGCAGAACGAACCTCCAGGGAGCGCTCCTCCGTGCTGCCAGCTAAACTGAGGAAACCGGGAGGTGGCGCGTGGCCCCGGGGCCACCCGACCTCCGGTTCTGCCCTTTCCAGCAGCGTGGTCGTTCCCTGGGGCCACGGGGACAGACCACCAGAGACAGGAGGTGTAAAGCAGCAGAAACACTGCGTGCTCTCTCGCACAGTTATGGGGGCCGGACATCCTGCCTCCAGGCGCTGGCAGGGCTGGCCCCTCCGGAGGCTCCGAGGGAGGCTGAGCCTGCCTCCCGCCATGCTCCTGCCAATGGTGGGTGTCACCCCTCCGGCTGTCCTGGCCACGTGGCCACATTGCTCCCTCCAGCTGCCCGTCTCCCCGTCCCCCCAGGTCTGTTTCCCCTCCTCTTCGAAGGCCTGGTCTTTGGGTTTAGGGCTGCCCTAGTCCAGAATGAGTTTATCTTGAGCTCCTTACCTTGATTGCACCTGTAAAAACCCTTTTTTCCAGATAAGGTCACATTTATAGACTCCAGGAATTAAGACATGGCTATTTCTTTGGCGGGGGGGGGGGGGGGTTGGGCACTATTCAACCCGCCATGGGCAGGTTTGCATTAATGTATGTGTGTGTGTGTGCATGTGTGTGACATACATATACATAATTTCAATCAGATTTCACCTCTGCCAGCCTTTCCTGTATCTACTGTTTATCATGACAGAAACGACTCAGATCTTCACAGGAAACCCGACCTGCCACCCCGGGCCCAGATGCAGACAGGTCGTCTTTTTATTCCTCTTGCGTTTCCGAGAGTTAAGCTCCTTGTCGTCCTGCCAGCGCCCCGCCCCCTCCTCCCCCATTGCCCTTTGCCCGGCCACTGCGTCTAACGCGAGGGACGCACGTGGGGCAAAAGGGCCCAAAGGGTCGCCGCCTCGATTTACACTGCTCCACCAGGGAGAATTGGTGCCCCTCCACCGCACGGGAAAGACACACGGGTGATGGGAAAGAGCAGACTGCGTGGGGTACCGAGTGAGGAAAGGAAAAAAATGGGCAAAGCAGGAATCCGTTTTCCAACAGGAGAAACGGCAGGAAATACGGGGGGACTTTCCCCCATGCCCCAGAGCTTAAACGTGATGTCTGGCGCCACCTGCTGGGAAGCCCAGGAACCGGCTCAGACGTGAGCCGCATAGACAAGGCGTAGCTCTGCCTCGCATCCCCTTGAAGCTGCAGGTTTTATTGCGACCGGAGGCCTTCCTGTCCGTTCTAACGAGGGGCTAAGACGACTCAGGAAGCGCCTGACCATGCCTGTGCGTTCCTCACACCCTCCTCTGCCCGTGGGGTGCCAGAAATCACCCACGTTCTGCAGTTCGACTCTCAAGCGCATCATCAGTAGCATCAGGGGCCCCAGCCCTCTCCTCTCCATTCTCAGGGTGTCCGGCCCAGAACCGGCTCGGGGTGGGGAGGGCTGGAATCCTATTGAACGTGAAAGAGAAAAACCCAGTGTAAGAATTCTACCTCTTATCAATGGTCACCTGCTGGCAAATGCATAAAAACCAAATGGCAAGGCCAGCCCCAAGAGGGAAACGAGATCAGCCGCGGTTTACTGGCCCGCAGAACTCACGGGCACAGCGAGGCTGTGGCCACCCTGTACCACAAGCGGGCCCCTCACCCTGCCGTCCTCCACTCGGACGGCGAAGGCCTTGTGGGGGAGGTGGGTGCACACGTGTGTAAATATAAAGTACCGTTATCTGTTGGTCCCTGCCCCCAGTTCCTGACCTAGGAGCACCCCTCATTTCCTGGGGGAGAGCAGCACTGTTCGTTCCAGCGAGGGGACCGACTGGCTCTCCCGGGGCCGCAGTGAGTCACCGGGGAGGCCGAGCATGGTTCCAAACGGGAGCTTCCGGCGCTGCACCCCATCCTCTGGGGGAGGGAGGGAGGGAGGGCTGGAAACTGAGCTACTGATCCAGCAGGATGGAGCCTCCATAAAAGCTTCCAAGGTGCAGGGTTCTGAGAGCCTTCGGGTGGGCAGCCAGCAGGGGCACTGGGAGACGGGCGGCCCCTCCCCACACCTGGCCGCGTGCAGGTCTTCCATGTGGCTGCTCTGGAGTTGGGTCCTTTGATGATAAACTGATGATCTTACTACACCGCTTTTCCCGAGTCCTGTGAGCTGCTCCAGCACCAGTCAGGCCCGAGGAGAGATGTACGACAGCCAGCTGCTCAGCAGCACAGCGACAACCTGGGTGTGCGACCTTGAGGTGCACACCCGAGTGGGCTGGGGGCCAGCCTGTGGAGTCTGCACTGGCTCCGGACAGGCAGTGTCAGATTTTAATTAAATGGTACGACTCCTAGCTGGTGCTGGAGAGTTGGAGAACTCCGGGCGTGGGCATCACGTGGGGGAGGGGGGCCCTCCTGTGTGGTGTCAGTGCCGGGTCTGAATAAAGGCAGCGTGCTCCTCCTGGATGGGGTACGGGCACAGGGCACCCCACTACCCCGGGGCTGCATGCACTGGTGGGAATGCAGCTCCCACCCCCTCCCCACAACACAGCCACTCACGGGACCTCTGCCGCAGTGGGTGGCAGCCTGGGCTGCACGGCACCGTCACCCGGCAGCTCTCTCGGTTCCGATGCACAGACCGCTCCCCAGACCGGAGGGGTCAGATTGCTGGGCGTGTATGTGGCCCTGGCCTCGGGATTTTTAAGTTTCCCAGATACACTGCACTGCTAGTGGGATGCACATTGGTGCAGCGACTATGAAGGTTTTTCAAACAATCAAAACAGGACTACCAAATGATCCAGCAGCTCCGCCTCTGGGTATTTATCCAATGAAAACGAAAGCACTGAATCGAACAGACACCTGCACCCCACGTTCACTGCAGCACTGTCACAACGGCCAAGACGCGGACACCACCGCGGCGTCTGTCGCCGGGTGAACGGATAAAGGTGTGGTATATGCACACACAAAAAGATGAAATACTGCCATTTGTGACAGCAGGAACGAATCTGGAAGGTACTATGCTAAATCACACAGAAGAGGACAAAGACCACATAATTTCACTCTACGTGTGAAAGACAAAAAAACGAACAAAAGGAAACCTTGCAGACGCAGACAACAGGCTGGTGGTCACCAACGGTGGGAGGGGGCGAGGAGAGGCTGCCAGGGTGAATGAAGGGGGGTCAGGTGCACGGGGACGGAGGGACACGGGGCTTCTGGAGGTGAGCACACTGCAGTATGAACGAGAATCAAATTACACTGCTGCACGCTTGAAACTTGGGTTGTTAACCACGGGCACCTCAATGGTAAAAGTGAAGCTTTGGGAGATAACAGCGGAACACAGCAAACGGAGGGGGCAGCTTTCCGGTGGGAGGGGCGGGATGCCAGCCCACGGCTCCGCCTGCGCACCGACCCGGCAGATGGGGCTGGGGAGACACGGAGTCGCCCGTGTTCTGGGGAACTCGCGGGTCTCCGTCGGCACACGTCTTTGTAGGAAATGAGGCTGAACGCTGCCCAGCTGCGGTTTCTGCCCATCGCCCCTTCCCCGGCTTTTGCGGACAGGCAGCCGACCTCGCTCCTCTTTGACTCCCACAGCCTTTCATAATCTTTAAGACGAGTGTCGTCACCCGAGTGCCTCTTCCCACCTCCTAGGCTTCTCTCCGGCAAACCTGCCCGCTCCCTTGGACAATGACCCCTGAGATACAGTGGGGACCTCGTCCTCATTCTGGCTGTTCCCTGGCTCCAAAGTCTGGCCAGCACGAGAGGGGGGCCTGCCCGCAGGTCCGACTCACACCCACCCTGACCCTGAGCCGTGGAGGGTCCCCAGGCTGAGGCCCTTCGAGGGGCAGGGCCTGACAAGAGGTGACCTTCCCTTTACACGGCTCCAGGGCAAGACCCTCCAGCACTCCCGCCCCTTCCCCCCACCGGGTGACTACATTTTGTAAGGGAGACGACCCACCTGAAACAGGCCTCCCTCACCCTCACCTCACGGGGCCCGTGGAGAGGTGAGTGAGGTGGCAGGGAGTGACAACCCCGTTTCTCGTGAAGTCACACGTGCCCTAATTCGGAGACAGAAACTCAACCAGTGTCAGAGCTGCCCTTCCACCGGCTGCAGCAAATGGGCAGGACCGATGCTTCTGGCTCAAGGGAGACTCGGGGTCAGATGCAGTGTTGGTCTAACCAGCCCCGATCTCGGATTAGATGAGACGGCGCATGCACATCTCTTGGGCAGTTCCTGCAACACATTAACTTTTACTCCCGATCCGTGTCCCCGGCCAACTCGAACACCCTGCCTCCACCGCTCTCTGTGCTGGGTCTGGCACGCAGCTGTCCCTCCGCAAGTGTGAGTGACCGGCACCGAGACTTCGGTCGGCCAGGTCTCACACGGTCACGGGGCCAGTTCCGTCCACTCCCTCCCTCCACCGAGAAGGGAGCCATGCCCTGGGCTACTAGGTTTGGGCAGCTGAAAAGAGCTGTTAAGCAGTAGACTGGGTTGGCGGAGTCTTAGTTAGCATCTGGGACCACGCCGTGGCACCTCCCTGCACAGGGCATCCGACCACGCAACCTGTAAGCCTGCCCCCGTCTGTGGAGAGCCCACGCCGTCCACAGCACGCTGGTGCTGAGTTGAGGTCATTCCTGGCAAAGCAACGGAAGGACACAGCAAAGGCAAACCAGCGGCCGTCGCAGACCGTCTCCAGCCCCTGGGGAGCTCGCTGCACACCCGCTAAGGTGGCGGCGTCTGCTGGGGTCTGCAGCACAGAACCCCACAGGACATGGACACAGCACGGGGGGCAGAGGCGAGCAACCCAGTGGGGCCAGACAGGACGGGACGGGAAACACACGTTTATTTTCCCAACTCCTCAGGCAGCCTCACCAGGCCGGAGGCCACATGCAGTGGAGTGTGAAACCAAGAAAAACAGGACTCAGAAAGCATTGTGCGTCCCGTTCCTTCGTCTGCGGCAGGCCGGGGCCCCAGGCTGGGCTGGCGGGGGCCGAGCGGCCGGCAGTCACACCAGCTGCACCGTCTGGAGCATGTCGGACAGGACGCAGGTGTCGTCCCAGCCCCCGCCTGGCTTCCGCAGGGCCTGCTCCAAGGCCCGGGCCTTCTCCAGGAGCTCCGGCGTGGCAAGTGGCTGCTCGGGGCGCAGCTGGCAGAAGAGAATCTCGTTCACTTCCCCCTCGATGCGCCGCATGTACAGGAGGGGGAACACGGCCTTCAGCCCACCCAGCACCGCGTCCTTGAGCCCCAGGTCCCGGCACACAAGGTTGAGGATGAAGACACCTGCGGGTGGGAAGGAACGAGGCAGGGTGACTGCGGGTCAGGTGACACGTGCAGACGGCTCCCATCCGAGGGAAACACCATCACCGGCCCAGGGAGGCTGGCGAGCTGACAGTGCCTGCGGCAGTGGCAGTGACTTTGCCGAGAACACAGGCAGGAGAGCCAAGCGTGGGAATGCACGAACCTGAGGAGACGTCAGCCCAGTTTCTCGCTCCTCTGTGCGGCTAACCAACAATCGTACCATCCCCCTGCCTCAGTTCCCCACTGAACTGCTTTGAGAAGGAAGTAACTGATAACCCCAGAATGCAGCAACTCTGCAGGGATGTTACATCATAACAGTACTCATTAGCCAGCGACGGCCAAGGTCACCTTGTGACAGAGAAGGGTCTATATCAACTCTGCTCACCACCTCACACAAAATCAAACCACAAAGCGGGGGTGGGGGGGTGTGGGGCTACAATCAGGTGGGTTCAGAGCCCCGACCTTCACAAGGGCCTGGGTTGGAGCCCCAGCTGTCACCTCATGTCACCTTGGCAAGTCTCTTTACCCCAGTTCCCTCATCTGCAATGGGCTGCTATGAAGCCAAGATAACATACCACCTAGTCCAGGGCCCATGGGAAGAACCTGACTGGTAGCTATCGCCCCCTGTGGGTGGGAATGTGAATTACTACAACCACTTTGTAAACCGGTGAGCTGGCATCTCCAGAAGCCGAGCATCCGCCTCACCTCTGACCCAGCAGATACAACGTGCGTGTGTGTGCCCAGCGGACCTGCAAACGTTGCCCTGAGAGGCATCACTAGAAGGTTAATGGCAGCACTACTTACAGGAGCTCCCAACAGGAAACAGCCGCCCCCAGCAGCAGAGGGAGGGACTGACTGCTACAGTCACCACGACGTTACGCAGCAACAAGAGGGACAGCGAAAACGCAATGCCAGGACGAACCTCCCAAGCATCAGGGTGAGCCAGGGAAACCAGAAACTGCAAGACCCTCTTCTGCGCAATCCCAGTTACGTAAAGGACCAAAGCGGAGGAAGCAAGCTGTGCTGGTAGAAGGCAGGACCGGGTCGCCCTCCAGAGGAGAGGGGTGCATGTCTGGGAGCGGGAAACGCCGTCTGGTGCGGGCACGTGGGTGTGTTCAAAGGCCGGGGATGATCAGGCTGCATGCACACTTAGGACACGCCCATCTTTCCTCGTGAAGGAAACCGTGTGAAGGGCCCGCCCACCCCAGCCCTCCGTGGCCCTCCGTTCCCACACCTTCGGGAGTCAGGATGCGCCTGACTCTTTGCAGGAAGGGCTGGTCCACGAACGCGGGGGGTGGGCAGCTCATCCCCAGGGTGGGGTCCTTACTGTCCACGTCGAACATGATGACGTCGTAGGGAGGCCGTGCTGGGAAAGAGAAGCAGAGGAGGGGTCTCTGCCGGATGCAGTGACGCCCCTCACACCCCTGCGCCCCAGCTCTCCTGGGGCCCGTGGTGGCCGGGCGGCCAGGCTGGAAGGAGGACGTGGAAGACGTGCCTGTGCAGGGCACTGACGTCACCGTCTGGGGAACCGTCTTCAGGTTTCTGCTGCGGCTGCCCTGCATCAGAGACGGGCGTCCGTCTCATCTTCGGGAGTCCGCCCCGCGGGGCGGTCCCTGGGAGAAGGAAGAGTCCGTCTATCCCGGGGCTGGCAGCCCTGCTGCCCTGGCAGGACATCAGAGCTGCAGTGAGGGGCCTCTAAATACTTGGGGAACCCGGGCTCCTTTCTGGACCAGCAGCTGAGTTACGAGCCCCACGCAGCAAGGAGCTGAGGGCAGGGGAGGTGGGGGGGCGGGGCCTGGTGTTGGTCTCCAGCTCCCCCAGGTAAGTCTGCAGGCCGAGGTGAGAACCGCCAGCCTGGACACAGCAGCGGCCTAGGCCTTTAAGGGCTGACCCAGCCAACGGTAACTTGAACTCACCTCCGGGAACAACGTATGTCGCCTCCTGGGAGAAAATGTCCTCAAATCAACGTTAGTGTAGCCTGTCTAATTGGCTGAACAATAGCTGCCTCAAGAACAAACTGACTTTGCTGAATGGGGGAAAGACGACCAACCATGAACTGGACCCACCCCACACTATACTAACTACTCTGTTACCAGTCGTGCGGCACGGGGAGGGAGGGCCCACAGCAGTGCTGGCCAGTGCTCAGCAAACCCCGAGGCTGTGACAGTAACCACCCCACATGCACGAACACTGACGTGGGCTACGGCCCGCCCACCACTGTGCGCAGCACGGATCAGACGGAGCTGTCTCAGAGAACGGCACAGGTGGGCTCACCGGAGCCCACGGACACCCACGGCTGCGGCCTCGAGTGCCCGATGCTCTGAAGGGCTGTGGCGGTTAGAGATCATGGCCAGGGCCGTTCATGCTGTGGACTGGGTGCCCGCCACGTGTTTTAAATGCTTCACGTGTGGTAGCCATCATGGGCCTAAGCCCCCGGAATGGCCCCAGCCTCAGAGAGGGACTCTGTGTGTGAAACTCTAAAACGGCTCAGCTCAGTCTGCAATTAAAATAAGGCAGCACTGTCCACCCCCGCACCACAGTCATCCCGGCGTGCCACGCCCTTCCCGGAAGAGGACCGGGCGCAGCGAGAGCCACAGCATCTGTGTCGGAACGAGCAGACCAGGACAGGAGGGTGGCCTGAGCTCCCCAGGGTCCCTCAGCACTGAACCAACCTGACTCCGCCCTGAGGGACTCGTGCGACAGAAAACACCCGTCGCCGGGAGCCCATCTGTGAAGCTGCAGAAGCATCGAGGCACCTTTTGCAGAACGTGAACAGGACATTTGTCCTAAGTCTGGGACATGAACTGTTAGAGCAAAACAGGACCTTCAGTCCAGGAGCGGCAGGGCGGCTGGGACTCCCACTGAGCAGCACCTGCCGCAGGGCACCCCGGCCACGGAACTCGGCCACTCGGGGTCAGACAGTCACTGTCATCAGGGACTGTCCCGTGCATCGCAGGAGATCCAGCAGCATCCTTGGTCTCTCCCACCAGAGGCGGAATCGGCCCTGCCCAAGCGTTATGACGACGTCCGCAGACACTGCCCGTCGCCCCCGAGACTCAGGACCCCTGCTCAGCATCAGTGCTGTTTGGCTCTGTTTCTGGCTTCACCTCCAGCTGATGGAGTTTAGAAAAAACACCTCCCAACACCCTCCCCCCCCAAACCCTTCTTCCCGCCTCCTCACCCACAACAGGCTGCAGGGACGGTGAGGAGGTGGGTGGCGAGGCTGCAGCGTCAGAAGAGACGCCCGCCGTCTGGGAGCACCACCGGGGCCAGAAACGCTCTGTTCTCCCTGCCGGACCCCGGCCCCGAGCACGGCGCTGAGCACAGAGCTGGCACTCTGTTTACTCAACGGAAGTGCCAGCAGACGAACAGGCGACAAACGAGGTCGACGCTGATTCCACCGCTCAGAGGCGGACTCCGGAGGCCCTGGCAGGCCTGACAACCTTGGACGGACAGCAGCCTTCCCTCGACACCCCCCACCTCCCCGAGAGCGGTACCTTCTCCCTCCGCCAGGCTGGCAATGTAGTCCAGGCCATCCGCGATGTGGACCTTCATCCGGTCGCTCTGCGAGAAGCCAAACCACCGGGTGGCCACCTCCAACATGCAGGGGTCGATCTCCACGGCCTCGACGTGGGCCTTCGGGAAATGGTCGTGGACAAAGAGGGGGAGGCTGCCCCCGCCCAGGCCTACCACCAGCACTGCCAGTGGGGTCTCTGCAAGACAGGAAGAAGGCCTCTCGTCACCACCTGCTCCCCGGAAAGTTGGGCGCCAGCCCGGAGAGGGTGCAAGGAGTCAGATGGCTGGCCCTGCCCGGGGGCACGAGATCCAGGGACCTGGTCTCCCGGTCTCACCCCAGAAATTCTGGAGTTGATTTGACATCTGAGAACTCAGCCCTCGTCTCACACTCCTTCCCGTCCCAGACCCAGAGGATGAACCAGTGGGTTCTCATGGCCCCTTAGAGGTCCCCAAGCACTCAGCTGGTCTACCGAGAGTCCGCACCCTAAGCTTTGTTAGGCCCCTCTACAAAAGGGAAAGACAGTGGCCAACACCTGGTCTGTGATCACAGGGCGGTGCAGAGGCGCCCACCACAGAGCGTTCCACTCCCAGGCTGCAGCGGCCCCACAGACACATCGGCCAGGCGAGGGCGGGCCGTCCGAGCCCCAGACACCACGGGAAAGCAAAGGCCAAGCCCTGGACCTAAGCACAGAGGAACCACAGCGGCCACGGGGATGGGAGGGAGACAAGCAACAAGACTCAGCGAAAGGACACCGTGGCCGCGTGGCTCAGCTGGTTAGAGCATCGCCCTGTACACCAAAAGGCTGCAGGTTCGCTCCCCGGTCAGGGCACATGCCTAGGTTGCGGGTTCAATCCCCAGTCAGGCTGAGTACGGGAGACCACCGATCTACATTGCTCTCTCCCCCCCACACCCTTCTTCCTCTCTCTCTAAAATCAATAAAAAACAAACCCTCAGGTGAGGATTAAAAAAAAGAGTCCATCAAAAGGAGACAGGCCCTGAGACCGAAGTGCAAGAACTGAGCCTCTGGGGACGTGAACCAACACCGAGACGGGCCGAGCGCAGGCCACTCCTGCCAGAGCCCAGCAGGGACTCGGTGAGCCAGCTCAGACGCAGACAGACGGACACACGGACATCTCGCTGCTGTGCTCAGAGCCGACCCTGTCGTCAGTGATGAGGCCAACCGGACGACCGGCAGTATGAGCTCTCTTTTCAGTACGGCGACTCAGGACAGGTCAAATAAGGTCAAACAACGCCTCACTGAAAGCCAGGAGTGCTCCTTAAGCGCAGGGCCCGCCCTTCCCCGGAGACTCGGTTTTCAAGGGCTCCGCCCGGTTGCCTGGGCGTACACATGCACGAAGATTCCCCCAGCGGAGCGACCAAGGAGCTCACGGGACGTACTTTACGCCTCACTTTGCACAAGGAACGGGCAGAGGAAAAAAGTGCAGACACTGACACGCGCACGCATCTCAGCATCCCAACCTCGGCTTGAGGAAAAGGCGACGTGGGTGTCCGCGGACTCGGCGGCTGGTCCGGAGTAAGGAAGACGCGAGTGGACACGTGTCCGTCGGTCCGAAATTGCTGCCCCTAAACTGTGCGCAGCCGCCCGGACCACCCTGCAAGCCCGCAGGCTCCTCACACAGGACGGCGCCGACGACCCCCTCACCTAGGAGCAGCTCGGGGCTCCGCAGCAGGGCCAGGCCGGCCACCATGGCCTTGTGGTGCTCGCAGCACAGGTAGCCCTTGTCGATGGCCTGCTCCGGGACGGCAGGGGGCTCCTCCGGGGTCCCAGCGGGCCGCTGCTTCCGCCTGTCTTTCTTCCGTTTCTTCTGGGCTGGAGAGAGAGAGAACCAAGTCCCATGCTCAGTCCACCGGCCGGCCGACAGCACAGCCCCCGGGGGCAGCGCGCGGCGGCCCACTGGATCTCCCTCGCCAACCCAAACGTTACATATGCAGGAATTTTGAACTGGTTGACGTGTTGGTAGCTTGGCGGCCATTTTTATTCCGCAGAAATGGACAAACAGTACACATCAGGGCTTTTTCCCCCCTCCAAAAGACATGGTTGCTAACCATTTAACAATCATGAGAGAGCTGGAACCAACACACCCAGAGAGCTGGAAAAGGAAAAGGAGGGAGTTGGAAAAAAAAGGTGGCAAAGACACACCCAAAGGCCTGGGAGAACTCAGCTCAGCAGCCCTGGCGCAGGCCCACTGAGCTAAGAAACGTGCGGCCGCCATCAGGATCTTCATAGACTCTTGCCAGGAAGAAGGACCGAGGCCCCTTGTTACCTCCTCTAAGCCCATTACTGCGCCAGCGTTTCTGTTCTGGAGAGTTAACGCTTAGGCCCAGAGTCAGCAGGTGGTGCAGCCCAGACTTGAACCTGGGAGTGCCTGTCTCCAACGACCATCACCCGCCTCCTGCACTGTGCAGAGGGCAGGAATGGCGCACCTCCCAGGGCCCCACTGGACTAATACACAGGCCGTGCGGGGCAGCTAACTCGTACAGCAGGCGGCCTCCAAACCGCGGCGTTGACGCGGTAGCACAGTCACACAGCGAACCACCGGCCCTGCCCCTTATCTCGGCCCGGCCGGGCCGGGCTGGGGAACACTCACCTGTGTTCTGCGTACGGCCCTTCACCCACACACCCTGGGAGCCCCGGCGGGGAGAGCACTGCACGCAGGGCCACGTGCCTCTGGTCACAGGGGCCCAGTCTGTCCTACATCTCGGTCAAGCCCCAGGTCCTGCGGACCACCCCAAATTAAGAGCCCATGCCACGTCCACCTGGGTCCCACCCCAGGCCTCTGGGGCCTCACCTCTGTGAGACACGTCCGTCAGCAGCCTGGCCTCCGATTGCACCACGTTCCTGCTGCTGAGGAAGACGAGCCGCCGGAAGTAGCGCCGGTCGTCCCCCTGCACGTCCTCGATGACGTAGTCGCCGCTCAGGGGGCTGCAGTCCCGGTGCCGCACGGTCCGCTCCCCGAGGTCCCCGCCCACAGACAGGAAGGGCACCTGCAGGCACAGCAGAGGCACGGTCAAGCCGTGGCTCCGTCAGGAAATACGAGAAAACACAACCCCTTCCCCGGGGTGCAGCCGGGGATCCACACCGAGGTTCCAGGCAGCAGAATGGCAGAGGTGTGCCGTTCTGCTAAAGCTCTTCTCCAGAGCCTTCAACCTGATCTCGAAAGGTTTATTTCACCTTTCTGAACACCAGCTCATCCCCCAAACCATCGGTGAAATGCAGCTGGTTCCTCCCAAGAAAGACGTGAGTCTCTCAACAATGAGCCTCAGAAGCACTTTTGGTAGTCCGGGACAACCCCAGCCTGGGGGAAGGCGCAGGGAGGGGCCACAACTACGAGAGGGGGACTCGGAACGGGGGGGGCTGTGGTAATGAAATCCAGGCGGAAGCAGCCGCTGCAAAGGTGGAGAAATCTCTCCCTTCCCTCAGCCTTCTCTTCCATCATTCTAAACTGGAGAGAAAAATGCTTCCCCCTCCCAAACTTTTCCCTTCACCTCCCTAATCTTTACATCTGTTTCTTTTCAAAGACGCACAATGAGTATGCCACAGCGCCTGTGGGTGTCAACAGGGGGCAACTGCTTGCCTTCCTCGCCCCGCCTGAGGCAAGGGAACGTGATGTAGGTCCACTTAGCTCTTAACTGCTAACATGCCCTCCAGGAGCCGACCAGGGTCACAGACACTACCCTAGGTCCTTCTGGGACACCCTCCGCCTTCCCCGCTGCTCACGTGGCCCCTCCAGAGACCCGTGAAAGCTGCTGCCAGAGGTCCGTTACCTGCTGCTGGGCGGGCATCCCGGCCGGGGCCAGCTCCATGACTCTGGCCGACAGCTCGGCCTGGATGCTCTCCATGTTTTCGTACTGCTGGCCTCGGTGCAGGGCCACCGTGATGAGCCTCCTGAAGCCGGCGCTGGCCGCCAGCTGCTTCCGGCCATCCTCCATGCCAAAGAGCCACTCAGTCTCCCGACCCTGGGGGACTGGAAACAGGCACCTGGTGACAGGGAGTCCCAGGAAGAGTGTTCAAGCCCACGTGGCAGACAGCCCGCTGCCCAGGCCCAGCATCCCTTCCGGCTGTGAGCGCCAGGCTACGATTCCCTGCAGCACAAGGCCCAGAGCAAAGCAGCCACAAGACATGAGACAGACCGGGGGGGATAAGCAGTGTGAGCACACCTGTTAAGGGGAGGGAGGCAGGGACCTGGTGCAAGGAAAAAAAAATAGCAATAATACTAACACTTATTACAAGCTAGGCATTAAAACGAACTGAATCTCACAGCCCAGGATGCAGGTAGTATTATTACTCCCATTGTATAAACAAGGAACTTGAGACACAGAAAGCTACAGTAGTTGTCCAAGTTCGCACAGCTCATGAAGAGCAAAGCTGGACTCGGGCGCAGGCAGTCCAACCCAGACCCCGCACTCTCGGCTGGGACGCTCCTCGTTCGTTGCCACAGGTGCGGTTAGGGTATGCGCTACTTGGGAAAGCGGCTCAGTTGTCAGGAAACAAACCACCAGCAGGACCCTATCGACACCTTGCTTTTATCTATCTACACTTTCTACTTCTGAAAGCCTTCCCTCACACTCTCTCTTTTGATGGTTGTTAACGTAAGACTGGTCATCATTTCCCTCTTTCAATAATAACACTAACGATCATAAAGCACCTCCCACGTGCCAAGCACTGTCCTAAGGGCGTTTACACTTCTCATAACTACACAATGTAGCCATGATCTCATGTTACGGATGAGGAAACTGAGGCACAGAAAGTAGTAAATAACATGTTCGACGCCACACCACCAAGGTGTGACCAGGACAGGCTGGGACCCAGACAACCCAGTTCCGGAGCTGACCCGTTTCGCCGCTGCTCTGGGCCACGTCTCTGAACTCAGCAGAGACACAGCAACCTCCCCAGCTCCTCCTCCTCTGACTGCTCCCCTGACCCCACGTTACAAAGGGACTCCCACCTCCGCACTGTGGGACTGGCCTACACGTACCTGTGTTCCTTCTCCCCTCCCTACCAACACCCCCTTCTCCCACTTCACCAAGCCTTCGTGATGAAGATGAGAAGAAATAAGCTTCAAACCTAAGCGAGTAGCGGGAGAGCTGCCGCTTCCTTCCTCACGCCTCGGCCAGCCTAACCTCTGAGAGGAACCGCCCCTGCCAGATGAGACCAGCCAAGGCACACCCATCCACCAAAGCCCCAGCCCAGCCCCTCCAGGGAAGAGAGGGACCAATCCCAACTCACTGATGAAAATGGCAAAATGATTGTCCCGCGATGGTTTCACAGTGGGGCTGTCCACCACGTGCAGGGTGTAGCGCGGCTCCCCCGTGTCCCCATTGCACAAGTCCAGGGACACACTCCCCAGCCCGGCCTTGCGGTGCAGCTGGCTGCGGAGCCAGGCATACTGCTGACGCTCCCGCACCGCCTCGGCCAGCCGCTCGGCACTCTCCAGCCGCACAGGCTTGCCCTGCTCCTGAGCGCACAGCTCAAAGATCTGAAGGGCAGAGCCAGGGACTGGCCTGAACTTGGTCATGATGAAGGCAAAGACAGGCAGGGGGAACCGAGGCTCTGTGTCCGACACCTGGTCCTGGCTGCTGGCCACCTGATGCACCCTGACCATCCACCCCTCCCGAGAGAAGTGACCCACTGCTTTCTTCAGGACGTGAGCCTGAGCCAGGGAGATGCAGAGGTAGCGACCGCCCACCTGCAGGACACGGCCAACCTCAGCCAGCATCCTGTCCACCTGCCGCAGGGTCTTCTCCTCCTCGTCCGTCAGGACGGCATCCAGGGTGCCCTTGTCCAGCACCACCTGGAACGAGGCGTCGGGAAACTCCATCTGTGTCATGTCCATCTTCAAGAAGCTCATCTGGGGCCGTCGGGTGGCATTGCGCTCCTTCATCTGCTTGATGACGACCTCACTGATGTCGATGTTCACGACGTCCTGATAGCCCACGTCATAGAGCTGCTCGCTGAGCTCCGAGTTACCGCACCCAATCACCAGCACCTGGGAGGGACCGACACGGCGGAGGTGAGCAAGGCAAAGGAACGCGCTTCACCTGCCTCGGGGAAACAAGTCTCACCTGGGCCGCTGCAAGTTTTCAGAGGGGGGAGACGCTACTGTCACAGGAGAGAGTATCACTGCGAAGCCGATTCTAGGCTCCATCTTGAAACACCTCTGGTTAGAGGACTCACATTCGGCAACAACAATGCAGGTTACGTGCAAATGGGCTTTCTGCATTGCAGAAAAAACTAACCATGGTTCTTCCTTTCTCTGAATCAAGCATTTATTACTCAAGAATTGACAGGAAGTCACACCAGAATCCAAATGCAGTGGGCACAGGTGAAATCTCCTATTTGTTTTACTGTTGAAAACCTAGTTCTGGAATACTCCTATTCCACTCACGCCTTTGGCTCCTCCTCACAATATCCTGACATTTTCTGAAGCCAAACTTAAAAAAAACAGGTTGCCACCTCCCGCTCTGTGGATCGACCTCCCACTGATCCTTCAAAATTCTGCTCTGAGGTCTCCAGCTCCGGAAGAGCATGGTACACACGACGAGAGGTGCGTAAGCTTTGGAGTTGGAGGGGCCAGAGTTTAAATTCCCACCTGGCCACCTACTTACACGTATGACCTTGACCAAGCACCTGGCTCTCGGAACTTCGGTTTCCCCATCTACAGAATGCATGTACCACCACTCACCGCGCAGTTTATTATGAGAATTCGACTATCAAACACAACCCCCACCCAGCACAAGGCTTGGCACTTACAGCTTTCCACCCTCCTTCCTTCCCCACCTCCACTACAGCCCCCCCCCCGTCAAGTCCATTACTGTACTTATCACTTTTCACTTCTGAAATGTGTGCAGGGTTTACTATCTTAATGCTCCTGCAGCTTGAGGGCTGAGCATGTGGCCTGAAATTCAGTGGCCCCCACAACCACTATCTGATAACGGATCCGTGCATCAATCAAGCCACAGCCTGTGCCTGCTCCACAACGATGCACAGTGACAGAAACACACGCACGTGCTTTTTTTTCTAGGAGGCGACATCTGAGTTGAGTTACCAACAGAAGTGATTCTTCCAGCGGGGGGTTTCTAATTAAAGGATGGGCTTGGGGCGGGAAGTCTGTCGTCTCAAAACCTTTAAAAGAATTTTTTTATAGTATCTTAGTTAGAATAATGCAGGAAATCCTGAAATTCCGGACCCAATTAGGGCCCCCAGGCCTGTCACTGTCTTCCGTGTGCACGGCTGCTTGAAAGGCAGCTCCCACTTTCCCGAACGAACACACACACACACACACACGGCTGCCAGGCCGCGCTTACCTTTTCCCGGGGCTTGATGTATTTGTGCAGCACCTCGCACAGTTCCAGGTAAGTTCCGTACCATTCGAAAGCTTTCTTTCCGCGCTGCTGGAAGAACTTCTCCCAATAGTCAACGGAGCCAAACTCCTTGGAGCTCTTAGGTAAGAGATTCATATTCCCACACCGCAGCTGCGTCCTCAGGACCGTCCCACCCCCTGTAAGGGCGGTACCATCGGAGGGGCTTTCCCCCACGCTGGCTCCGGGACACCTCAGTGGGGTTTCTTCCCACAGACGAGCAGCCTCGTTGATTTTTCTGCCACGCAAAAACCCAAAAGAGTGACCTTTACATGCCAAGCGTACGCGCGAGACACTGAACCTAACACACTCTCCCCATCCACCCCGCGCGCGCAGCCGCTGCCCACGTGGGGAGCCCCTCACTTTCACAGAAATCGATTTTAGAACCAACAATCATATCCGGGTGCGACGCTCCGCAATTGGTCGGCCACTCACAGCAGCGTCTCCCCGCTCACTGATTTCCGTTCCTGCCACCTCATTGGCTGAGACAGGCTCGCCACACGCAGGCGCTGAGCGTTTATTTACGTGAAGCGGAAGGGGGCGGGCCCGCGGGTCGGGGCGGAAGTGGACGGTTGCCCAAGAACCAGGCTCGGCCCGAACCCCGGAAGAAAACTGGCTTCCGGGGTTCTGAGTTTGCTAGTGGCCAGTTCTGATCATGAGCCACATAGGGGCTGAGCACGGTCAGGAGTCGCCTGGAGTCCGGGGTGGGAGCGGGGGGGGGTGGTTCCCCCCCACCGAAAAGGACAAGCTGTAAAAGGAAGTGAGGTAAGGGATGACGAGAGCCGGTCCACAGCATAAGAGAAATGCGCATCCCAGTCATTTGTCTTCGCATCTCCCACCCCAGTCCTTCTTAGTGTAAGCTCTTTCCTTGTATAATTCAAGTTTAATTTGGAGAAAAATCTGCATCAAAACAGGGTACCACCATTAATAATGTAAGAACGTGAAAATTCAGTCTTTTCCCCAGTAAAGCTTAAGACCCGTTTTGATAATCAGCCTCCTTGAGTTGTCATTCTGATGTCATCTGTAGATAGTTGCTATTCCTTCTTTCCTGCGTTTAATGTGCATGTACTTTGCTGCTCATCTTATTCTAATACCCTAAGTAAGTCCCTTAAATCTTATCCTAATGCTCTAAGGAAGCACCATTGTTGGGGAGGGGGGTGCTCTGCCCAGAGGGCCCCTCTCCCTCTGCCCCCACGGATGAGAATAAATCTACCGAGACATGATCTGCTTGGGGAGGAAAGGTGGCCAATCTCTCAAAGGAGAAGGGACATGAGCCTGTTCCTCAGTGGGCTTTCATTGGGTTCATTTGCATAGGAATATAGGGCATTTATGTAAAGCTCATCAGTCCTTGTCAAGCAGTAAAGATCAAACAATAGATAACATTGAGAGAACTCGCAGGACTTATTCTGAGTCAGGGTCAGATAGCTGAAGGGCCATAAAACTTTGGGAACAAACTCACTTCATGTTTGGACCCTTATTTAAATTGAGGGTATCAGGGCAGTGGGCTGGGAGTAAACGGTAGAAAACTGTACTTGAACAACAATGAAAATTTAAAAAATAGCAAAAAATAAATAAATTGGGGGTATCAGCAAAGCAGGTTTCACAGGATCTTATGCATTCTTTCTTAGGCCTGATCGCCCCAGGGAACCCACCCTTCCTAGCACAGGGCCACACCCACCTCCAGCATTGTTTCAGGCTTAAGTCAAGCAGCGGAAGTAAGGCAGCCAAGAGATTAGGAGACTTCTTGCAGACACAATGAGGACTCAAGCTATAGCAAAGCCGAAGGGCGAGGATCCATCACCCCCTTTTTCTATTGCCCCCCCACAAATCCTTCCCTGAGGGCCCCTTCGTGACCATACCTGTCTTAGGTCATCCCTCCCTTGAGGAATCTTACTGGTCATTGACTAACCAGTCATCCGGGGCCAAGCAGTTTGAAGTAAAAGGGGACAGAGGTGTCACCCCCTATAAGGAAGATAAGTTTTATCTCTTTAGTGGCTTAGGGTCCCAGGGTCTCTCACTCAGCCTTAGCCATGGGCGGGTAATAGCTTCTGAAACCAGGCAGGGCGGTTCCCAACACACCATAAATCACAGGAGGGATATACAGACCAAAGAGGGCAGGCAGGCTTGGCATTGAGCAGTTGTGGTCTGGGACCTCACTAGCATAGACAGCCAAGTAGCCGGCTAAGCGTTAAATAGGTCAAAGTGGACTTCAACTTTGGTTTAACAGTAGCTCTAAACTTTGGCATGCACCGGAATCGCCTGGAGGACTTACTGAATCACAAACTGCTGAGACTCAGCCCCAGAGCTTCTGACTTACCAGGCCTGTGTTGGTCCCACGCACCTGCATTTCTAACAAGTTCCCAGGCAATACTGATGATGTTGGTCCAGGGACTGCTCTTTGAGAGCCACTGTTTTAAAATAGCATTGAGATACGTCAGAATGGATATGGTTCCAGTTCCATGATTTTAAAAGTTTCCTCTAAAAGCCCTCCACAAATAACATCGGAGAAAAATCTATTTTTGTGAACCACTTGCTGCGTTCACATTATTTCCTCCCCACCCAAGGGAAGGAGCATGGGAAGGAGTGTCTGAGGCAGCTTTAGCTGCAGCATCATGCAGGGTCCCAGTGGGTGACATGATTATAATAGCCTAGTAATACTATGATTATAATAGTATATTTCAGTTTGTATAGCACTCAGATTGGCCAATTAATTTCCTCATACATTATTACTCTGCATTCATGGGATGGACAAACTTCTAATTGAGGCCAAACTCCAACTCATCAAAAACAAATTAAAAGTTATGTGACAGAGTGAATCCAGGCCTCATCTGAGTGTGATTATTTGATTCCCAGGATTCTCCATTCAGCAGTTTCCTGCTGTGTCACGTGCACACCCACAGGCACACTGGTTTCCTGGCACGCGTGCACTGCTAGGCGGTTACAGCCACTTTGATGGGGAAAGGTAAGGGCACAGTGTACACGACAAGTTGTGTGACTTTGGGGCCAGTGGGCAATAACAGTTTAAAACTGAAACACCAGGAAAGATGAAGGAGTGTTGCCAAGGGCGATGGCTGGTGCCTGGTGCATCAGACCCCTACACGAGGACTGTCACAAGGCCTCCTTGGGGATCCTGTCTTTGTTTTTCACAGCCTGGATACTGGAAAAGATTACAATGTTTTTCTCCATCATTTAATGAAAAACTTCCGTTCCTTTGGAAGAAAAAGAAAAAAACTTTGGAAAACAAGTTGTTTTTCTCCTCAATTCTAGCACTCAGCACATCTACGAGCATCTCGTGGATCCCATTTGACTGGATGTTTTTTGTCCTCAGCCCATAATAAAAGTTTTCTACCACCACCACCCAAAAAAAAAAAAAGGAGTTTAGAACAACATTCAATACATAAAAATCAGGTGTTCCACCAAAGGTACCCTTCAATTACTTGCTGCAGATGGTAATATATCAAAGGGAATAAGTTCATCCATAAGATATGTGATAGGTATTCTGTTAAAATACCTGGGCATATAAAGATGGTAAACAGTGCTTGCTGTCCTCGGAGAATAAATCCTTCAAGTTGGTGAGACCCAAACCCTGTTCTGACTCTAAGTCCAGTGTTATTCATATTCTTTCAGGCTTACTGATATAGATGATTTATATTAACTCCACCCAGTGACATTTTTTAAGCTTTCAGGAATGTTGGGCATAGTGAAAGGAACTTTGTTCAGGTGATTCAAAGGTGGGGCTTACATTACCCTTCCTCCAAGCAATTATACCAAAATGGGTGGTGAAACTAAAGAATTACATTTTTTAAAAAAAACAATGGTTTATTCATAAAAGCTTTCAATGGCATGGCGGTAGAACGCAGTAATCACATTGCCTTCAGTTGTGTAAGAAGGGCTGAGGCTGCAGCAGGTGAAAGCTCTCACTGGCTGTGGCACCAAAGCAGGGAAGCACCCCATAACAAGCAAATAAACAAATATAAAATCAACTGCAGACGGAAAAAATAACTTCTGGGTCACCTGTGGAGTCTGGGGCAGGCTCACGGTCAAGCCCAGGCAGAGAAACTAGAAGCTTCCCTTCAAGGTCTACCCTTTAGGCCCAGTAGTAGACTGACCCATCATGAACCTACACCCAGGCTTTCAGAAGCTTCAATTCACACCCCAGGCCAACTAAATCAGTCGTTTTTAAGACTTTTCAGGTGATTCGATTCTGCAAAATTAACTTGAGAGTATCCTTGTCAAAGTATCTTTCAATTAGTTACAGCGTGGGGCTTGATTTAAACATGCACCAAGTTAAAACACTAAAACAACAGAGGACCCATAAAGTGAAAGACTTGTAGCAAACAAATAATGGGGGGAGGGGTAATGAGTAAAGCAATGCAACTGGGGCGTGTGGGTGGAATGGATAAATAAAAGTAATTTTGGATTACTGCATCCAGCTACCGCAGGCTAACGTGACACTAACTTGGCGCGGGAGCAGTGGGGGCAGCGGGTAGGACAGCGGAGTGGCCTTGCAACGGTGGTTTCCCTCCTGAAGCCTAAGGGTCCCCGTGTCTGCCTAGTGTCTGGATCCAGTTGTTTTAGGTTAGAACTCCAAAGCATGCAGGGGGAGGAACACTGCGTCCTCGCCCCAAACTAGCTGTGCCACCTCTCAACGCTGGACCGGAGACTCCTAACGTCTAAAACCAGGAGCCCGCATTAGAAACCCTCTCTCTCTCCAAATCTAATTCTGATTCCATGAACAAGGGATCACACATACGTCCCTTCAGAAAATCCCTAGCCGGCCCTGGCTGGCGTAGCTCAGTGGACTGAGCGTGGGCTGCGGACCAAAGAGTCGCCGGGGGGCTGTGGGCCACGTCCCTAGTGGGGGCCACGTGGGAGGCAAGCATACATTGATGTTTCTCTCCCTCTCCCCCGCCTTCCCTTCTGTCTAAAAATAAAAAATAAAAATTTAAAAAGAAAATCCCTAGCCAATCTGAAGCCGGTCTGGGGCTTCGAGCCCCCATCCTCGTCGTCTCCTCGGCTTCCTCCTAAAGGTCTCATCAGCCTGCCCGAGTGACTTTCCGAGAGTTGCCTCCGCCTTCCCCGAAGGTCCTCCGCTCCCGCCCGACCTGCGTGGGAACCTGTCGTTCCTCCCTCAAAGCACAATACAACCCTGGGGATCCCTGTCCGGACTCCGCCGCGGCCTGGACCTTTCCCGATAAAGAGCTGAGGGTGGAATCGACTCCTTCGGCGATCACCGCCCCTGGCCCCGCCCCCTGCTCGGCCCCGCCCCCATCCGCCTGGCACCAGGCTGAGGAGCGCCGACAGGCTCGATGAGCGGGGGCGCAGCGCGGCGCAGCGGCCGACGCCGGGTGGGCGCCCACTGCCTCCGCTCTCCGTCGTGTGCCTCCCCTCCCCGCCCCTTCCTCCAGCCGCCCGAGACCTCCCCGGGAGACTCAGGTACAGGCTTCCGCCCGGTCGTGGGGCGGGGTGGCTAGTGAGGAGGAAGGAAACGGACACGACGCCCCGGCCCCGCAACGTCAACGTCGGGCTGCGGGACCGGCCCGAGGAGGGAGCCCCGAGCGGGAGGAGACTGGCGTCGGGCGGGGCGCCGGGAGGAAGGGCGGCGAGGACTGGTGTGCGGGCGAGGGCGGGTGTCTGGGAGCCGAAGAGCCGCGAGTTGGGAGCAGACCGGGGCGACAGATGGGTGGGTGGTGGGGCCCCGCTGGCCGGAGGGCTGTGCTGGTGTCAGGATTTAAAAGGCTCGGTTCCAAGGACCAGCAGGTGCGGGCAGTCTTCGCACTGGCAGGTTTGGGGAATAGCAGCCTCTCCAGGCTGCGCCCAATTCAAGTCACTGATTTCCGGAAACTGCACCCGCGGAGACTGCGGGCAAGGATGGGGAAGTGGAGTCGGAAATGGGGAGGAGGCAGGAACAAGGAAAGCCTCTTTCCTTGTTCGGGTGCAAGCCTGTGTGAAATGAGACACAGGGTTTTTCTGTTACTTGTTTGCCAACATTATTAAACAACGCATTAGAAGTGTGTTACTTATTAAAGCCCCTGAACACCGTATTGCTTCTTCCAAAAATACATACATCACGTTGTAAACGCAGGAGGATGACATAAGAAGCAGACGGTGATGATGTTTTTAGGGGGTGAATTGTGCACCGGTGTTCTGCCCTCCGTGCTAAAATACATCATGAAGACTCTTATTTACACATAGACCTAGGCACAAACACCTGAATGCATATGTGCTTTTTGCACAAATCATTTTAGGTAGAATATGGATAAGTCTGATTTCTAAACGTCATTTTTTTTCCTAAGAGTTGTTTGGTACAAATATCATCAGTTGCCCTGTGGTTCATGATGCATAGTTAATTAATATGCCTGCTGCTGGCTTTTCTGTTTGTCAGACGCTGATTTCTTGCTTTCCTGAGGCTGATCTTGGATTATGGGACCTCAACATGGGTCTTGCTCACCGTTAAGCTTGTAGCTTTGTTGTATATTTTATTAAGATATTACGTAACTCTGGCTGTTACTTGCTTTGAGATGTTCGAGGTAGCCCCTTTGTGGGGTTTACCATGCAAACAAATTCAAATATAATGGAAAGAAAAACTCAGTTCTTCATTGCTTCCTTTGTCACTTGTTTTTCCATTCATTCCGTAACATTTCTGCATGAATGAATTATTCTGAAATCAAAATCAGGAATGAAATGGGCCAGTTGTATGTGACAGAAATATTGTTAAATAAACTCTGGAGTTGTTTACTCAGGTGGCAAGAGTTTGTTTTTTTTGTTACATGTGGTCAAGTTTCTGGTTTGGGAGCATTTCTTATCAAAGAAAAGTGTCTATCATTTTGTTTTGACAGGGAGCCAACTTAAAATATTGCTTTGGTTTATGAAACTGGGTGCTGGGCTTGTTGATTTTTGTAACGTTAACCAACAAACTAACATCTAGCTGTACCTAATTTTAAGATCGTCTTCGGTTTCTTCTTGTGGAAGGGGAAGGACGGCTGCTGGGTTGTTACAGGGAAGTGGGCTTTCTAGACCACAACTGTGCAGCCTGAAGGGCAACTAACTGAATAAACATCACAACTGATCGCGCACAGCCATGGATTCATCTAGGCCTGTGTCTCTGCTGTTTCCACGAGCAGAGTGGCTAACACTGTTAATTACCTATCTTTACTAAGCCTTAGCTTTTTTAGTTTTCTAGTGCCTACTTCCAAGGAGTAACAGAAAATGCACATAAATCCCTGAGTTCAGTGCCAAGCATACAGTAAAACCTTAGCTATTCTCATTATTCATCCATCTTCCAGCCCAAGACACTGAAAACTCATGTCTGCATATGTCAGCCTTTTCTCAAGAAAATGTTGAGTCTGTTGCATACCTAAGCGTTTTTCTGGACAGTCACAATGCACAGTGCACATTAGCATATAAAAGGCAGGAGACTTTCTGCTGGGGAAAAAGAAACTTGTTTGTTGAACAGGACTGACCAAATTTCCCTTTCCTTGGAACACTGGTGCCATGCTTCAGAACAGGATGTTACCGTTTACAGAACGTGTTTGCATGTATTACCTGATGAGACCCTCCCAAGTCCACGCAGAAGCCTGGAAAGCACTACTTTACACACGAGGGCACAGAATCGCCCAAGCAGCTAACCTACAGTGAGAACTAGAAGTGTCCCCCTGTCTTCTGACTCCGAGTTAAAACCCTGAAGCATTTCATGTCTTGCTTTCAGGGAAGCATCTCCTGTTTTCCCCTCCTGTGTAATCTGCCTTTTAATCTTACAAAAACCTTGTTACTGATTTCCTCCACATGTTCTCCTGAGAAAGTTACACCCATTTTCTCATGGTTTATACTGTTTCCCGTGTGTTAAAGCCTAGTGTGAGCGAGGTCCCTGGAAAGGAGCAAGCGAGGAGGGAGTGGTTCGAAGTCAGAGAAGTGAAGGAGGCCCCTTCACACAGGGCCTTGGACTCCGATGCAGGTACCTCACCTTCTTCCCGAAGCCTCAGATCCGATGAAATCTTGTCTCTTTAAGGCGGTGAGTCCTTACTCTGCCGGGAAGCGGAAGAGCACTCCTAGATTGAAAACTATGCCACCCAAGTTCAAGCGCCACCTAAACGATGACGATGTCACTGGTTCTGTGAAGAGTGAAAGGGTAAGTTCCGCGTCTTAGGCTTTAAAAAAAGAAGGAGGGAAAATATGTGTTCATTCCCTTTGTGATTTTAGAAGAATCGAAAGTTTCTGGCTGTATTCTAATTCCACTTCCATCATAGTAAACATTAAACAGTATGTGCTGCTTGAACCGGTGACTCAGCTGGAATCCGAGCACGGCTTCTTTCTAGTCCCTCAAACACGTGATGTCTGACTCAGACCCCGGAGCCAAATGTGGTTGTACTGTAGAATGTTTCAGCTCTTAGAAGGGTTACAAGTGCATCTTAGACAACAGCACGTTGGAGGTCTGGAGCAGCACCTGCAAACATTAACACGTCTCTCAGTTCAGCATCGGATCATTCTAAGTATAGAAATTAAAAATGTACATGTAAGTAAATTAGCTAACATCAATTCAGGTCAGCTTTTCATCCAAATGCATTTTGGCGCCAGGCTCACAAAATCTCTCTATAAATTTCAAATATCCAACTTTATGATTTGATATCTGTGTACTCCAGATTTCCAGTTTTTATACCATTGTGCTCAGAAAAGGTGCTTGATGTGATGATTTCAGTCTTCTGAAGTTTACTGAGGCTTGTTTTGTGTCCCAGCATATGGTGCATTCTTACGAATGTTCTGTGTGTACTTGAGAATGTGCATTCTCCCATTTTGGGATGGAAAGTTCATAGATGTCAGTTAAGTTTGTCTGGTCTGATGCGTCATTTAAGGCTGATATATCCTTGTTGGTCTTCTGAGGTCTCTTTCTATTGTATTTTTGTCTCTCATTTGAGGCATACAATTCAGAATGGCACAGCCATCACCACAGTCAATTTCAGGACAGTTTCATCACCCCAGCAAGACATCCTGTAGCTTTTAGCTGTCACCCCCCCGACATTGTCCTCACCCCTCAGCCCTAGGCAACCGCAGATCTATAGATTTGTCTATTCCGGACATTTTATGGAAATGGAATTATACAATGTGTTGTCTTTTGTAACTGGCTTCTTTGGCTTAGAATGTTTTCAGAGTTTATCCATGTTGTAATACGTGTTAGTCCTTCATTCCTTTTCACTGCTGAATAATACTGTTATATGGATATACCACATTTTCTTTACTCTTTCATCAGTTGATGGACATTTGGGTTCTTTCTACTTGTTGGCCATTGTGAGTGCCATTGCTGTGAACACCCAAGTACAAGTTTCTGTGTAAACATGTTTTCGTTTGCCTTGGGTAAATACCCGGGAGGGGAATTGCTGAATTCTGCTAATGGAAGTATTCCACGTTCAGTGTTTTGAGGAACTGCCAAACTGTTTTCCAGGGTGGCTGCAGTTTTTACACCCCCAGCAGCAGTGTGTGCAGGTTCCAGTTCCTCTGCATTTCTCACCAACACCCACTTCTTTGCACCAACACTAATTATCTTTGCACCAACACGAAGTAGGTGTGAAGAGGTATCTCACTGTGTCCCATTAAACTTTTCCAATGTTTTGTTTCCAGCAGTTGTGTTTGTTCAATGAATGGGTGTGAAAACATTGGTGTCCATGTGTGTTTCTCATTGTACAGCTATAATACAGACACTTCATCTTTAGTATCATCATCCACTAAGGCAAATAAACTGTCATAAATGTAATGATTATCTGTTACTTACTAGCCAGAATAGCATTCTAGAAGTATTTGTTGAAGGAATTAAAGCATCTTCCTGCATAGTATTTATTGAATTAGAACATCTCTTCATGTGGTCATTGCTATTTCTTCATCTTTTGGGAATTGTCAGTTCTCTCCTTGGATGATTTTCTGTAACGTGTCTTTTTGGTACAGGTTTGTCAGAGCTCTTATGTAATATAGATGTCAGACCTTTAATCTGAAAGTATATTGTAGATTTTTATTTTTTCCAATCTGTTACTTGCTATTTAACCTTGTTTACGATACCTTCTTCATATTGTAAATGCTTATGTAATCAAATCCATTAATCTTTATCTTTAACACTCCCGGGGCTGTATGTTGCTTAGGAATAACCCATCTTAAATTGCCTATTTCATGTTTTTCAGTCTTTGTCATTTCATAAATAAATGCATTTGAGATCACATTTTCCTTTAAGTATTCCTGTAGCATACCCTGCAGTTTTGTTCTGTGATGTTCCCAGAATCATTCATTTCTAACTAGTCTGCTCAACTTCCATTTCCATTTTAATGTGTCACTTAAAAAGGGTTTTAAAATTTCCTTTTGTTATTTGTTCTAATTTCCATTGCATTCTGCCCAGAAAATGTGACTTCTTTAGTTTTGGGAATTTATTAAAATTCTTTTGTGGCTTATCCTTTCTCTTGGATATTTCCAAGAAAATAAAATCTGCTGAGTACAAAGTTCTAAATTCTATATTACTTGTTTTTTGTCTTCTTGGTTTCTTTGTCTCTGAACAATCTGTTAAATCTTCCTATAACTTTGAATGTATTCATTTCTTCTTGTAATTTAAGTAGTTTTTGCTTAATATATTTTGAAGCCATATTATTATAAACATTCATTTCTGGTAAATCTTGGTGAATTGTGCTTTTTACCATTGTAAAATATTTTTATTCGATTGTTTAATGCCTTTGTCCTCAAATTTGTCTTTATATTAACATTGCTAACTCTAACATCCTATTTGTTAGAATTTGCTGCTGTATCTTTCCCACTGCTTTTTCCCCACCTTTTAGTTGACATTTGTTTTAGGTGGATTTCCTGTAAACAGATATTGGCTGGAGAACCTGAACTCTCATCATGTCTGGGTTTTATTTCTAAAAGGAGAAGTCAGACCCTTCACATGTGTACGGTGATTCTCACTGTGGAGCTTTTTCTGCAGCCGGTCTCCCTGCAGCAGCAAATGCTCTCTGCCCAGCTCTCTGTCACCAGCTGGATCTCAGCTTAAATGTCACCTCCGGAGAGTGACTTCCCATGGCAGCCTCGTCTCATTTAGTCACCCAGTCCCCTTCCGTCCCATCACTCTTAGTTTTTTCTGCATGGCATTTATGCCCACCAGATGTTTTCCTGTGAGGGCTCAGGCCTGTGTGGGGTGCTCAAAGCTGGCCCTTGGTGCTTGGAACAGTGCTCAGCACATAGAGATGCTCAGGCCCGTCTGTGAACTTGAACGGAGAGCAGCTGGGAGGCAGGGGGAGGCGGAGGGACTCGCTCCCCCGATCGCCCACCGTTCCTTCTTCCCACACCACATTCAGCGACCTCCCTGCCTCAGAGCGGGTCATAGGGTTCCCCTCTTAGAAGCATTTTCTTTAGGAAGTCTGCAAATGTGGTTCCAGATCTTTAGCTTCCAGTGACGCACATGTAATTACTCTCTCCCCCCTACCCCCCTCGAGGCTTGGAGCTCAGGAATCCCACCAGGACAGAACGTGTTTTATTACTCCTCCTGACACTGGGTGAGCCCTGGGAATCTGGAAACTCACGTCCTTTTTTTTTTTTTGCAGAGAAATCTTTTGGAAGATGATTCAGATGAAGAAGAGGACTTTTTTCTGTAAGTTTTTAAACATCTTTACTGGGATATAATGGACATACAAAATACACAATGCGAGTTTGGACGTAGTACCCGTGACAGCATCACCGCAGTCAGATCGTAAGCACAGCCCCGTGTCAGACGTCTCCTTGCCCCTGGAGGTTCTGTCATGCTCCTGGCCCCCCCCCCTCCACCAGCGCTGCCCCCTCCGCCCCCGCCAGCAACCGCTGACCTGCTCTCTCACTGTCGTGTGGGTTTTCTCGAGTTTTGTTTCACGTGGAGCCAGACACTGGGCCCCCTTTTTTACTGGCTTCGTGCTCTGCCTGCTTATCTTGAGATCACCCGTGCTGTCGCGTGTATGTTTGCTTCTTTTTATCTCTGAGAAGCATTCCACTGTGTGAATATTCTGCAGCTCACTCATCCGTTTGCTGATTGATGACTGTTTGGAGTAGTTCTAGTATTCGGCCATTGTAAATAGGCGGCTGTAAACACTTCCACACAGGGTTTTTTGAGTGTGTGGACATCTGCCGTCATTTCTCTTGGGTAATTACTGGGGAGTAGAACGGCTGGTTCGTGGGTGCGGCGGTTTTCTGAAGCGGTGTCTCCTTTTATGTTCCCACAGCGTTGTGCGGGAGCCCTCTTTGCTCCGGAGCCTCGCCAGCACTCCCCACGAATATTTTTTTCCTGGTTTGCAACTAAATCTTTTCATTTTCCACAGCAGTATCTTTTGAAAAATCAAAGTTTTGATTTTGATGAAATAAATTTATTGGGTTTTTTTTTAATTTATTTTTGCTTATTTAAGAAATCTTTGGCAAACCCAACATCACTGAGATTTTCTCTAGTGCTTCTTTTCTAGAGGTTTTATAGTTTTGGCTTTTACATTTAGTTCGGTATATTTTGAATTGTTGTGTGTGACTAAGTGAAGGATAATTTTGGGGCGGGGGGGCGGGGCGGCGCATGTGGCTTCCCAATCATGCCACCACCATTTGGTGAGAAGATTGTTCTTTCCCCATTGAATGGCCTTGATACTTTGTCAGAATTAACTGGCCTGACCAGCCCTCCGGAGTCATGTTCAGGCAGGGCCCCCGCACAGGTCTGGGTCTGTGTGCGCAAGGTCGGGGTGACGCGTGCCGCCGCAGCTGGCCCTGGGGAGGAAGGTGGAGGCGTGCCCGCGCGGGGACCTCCGGCTCCCTCTCTGCCGTGATGCCGTGGAGTGTTTTGCAGACGCTTCTCCTCCCCAGATAAAAACATCATATGAAGAGCAGTCGATGCCCATGAGGCAATGAACCTACAGGACACAAAACAAATCCAAGTGCAGGAACTCTTCTGTGGGAAGGTTAGATGTGGTGGGAGACAGTGTCCACGAGAGACAAGCTTTCCACGGGGTCACAAAGCTCGCTGCTGGCGGGCAGGGCTCTGTGCAGTGAGAAGCCTTGGTCTGCAGCCACTGCCGCCTGTCAGAAAGGAGCGAGTACCGAGGAGAGGGCTGGATGCTTCAGTTAGACACGTGGTTGCCCGAACATGACCAAGAGGCCCTTGTGGGAAACACCCCTCCCCAGGCAACAGGGGGCCCCTGCAGGGCCCTCCCCCCAGTACCGCGTGCAGCTGCCGAAAGGCCCGACAGTAGAACCGGCACCCTTGTTCACACTGCAGCTTCCACGCCCCGTGGTTCTGTCTGGGTGCGGAAAGGGAGACACACCAAACAGAGTTCTTGAAGTGATTTTTTTAAAATCACCCCCCATGTCTATAGCAGCAGCATTCGCAGTAGCCAACGGTTGGAAGGACCCGAAGGGCCCGTCGGTGGGTGGAGAGAGAAACGAGAGGAGACGCACAGTAGCCGTTAGTCTTAGCAAGGAGGGGTGTTCTGAGACCAGCCGCCACCCAGGTGAACCAGGAAGGCATGACACCAAGTGAAAGAGACTGGTCGCAGAAGGATAAAGTCTACGTGACGCCGCTCCCGTGAGGCCCCTGGAGTGGTCACGTTCACCGGGACACGCAGTGTCGTGGAGGGGACACTGGGGAGCTGGTGTTCAGTTAGCCCAGAATCTCTTTTCTTCTGAGATTTGTAGTGTACACCTTCTTCTCCATCGTGAGAAGAAGAATAAATAATTACCTGAAATATATAAAAGGTGTTTTTTCTTTCCAGGATTTTAAAACAGACTGGTTAAAAGAGCAGCACTCAGCTGTGAAACAGACTGGTTAAAAGGGTAGCGCTCAGCCGCAGTAGAAAGACAGTAATGGGAGGAGGTCGGCGTTTTCAGGCGCCTGCGTTTCCCATCAGCCGAGTCACTCAGTTTAAGACGAGTCATCAGAAATCCTGCTGACAGATGTTTCTTGTTTGGAAAGGATTTTTCTCTCTGTCCATCCCTGATAACAAGCACTCATTACAGCCCCAAATCAAAGTGAATTATAGTTTTAGTTTTCTCATAAAGCTGTTATTCATACCCACGGGCACTTCGGTGGTTAAGGTGTTTCAGAGTTCGATCAGTAGAAGAACATCCTGAGTGTCACTGAGGGTCGCAGGAACCCTCATTTCTCTGGCAGCCACACCCTTCAGAAGGCGGGGGTCCATCACGGCCAGCGTTAGGTGTCGGCAGGGCAGGGCAGGCGTGGCTGCGCGGCACCCCCGGCTCAGCGGGCTGGAGCATGCGTGTTCACTGTGTGTGTCTGTGTTTCATGCCCTCGTTACTCACGTGTGCTCGCTATTTTGCTTTCAGAAGGGGACCGTCTGGACCAAGATTTGGACCTAGGAATGATAAGATTAAGCAGTAAGTTTCCAAGATACTCATTTGTTTAAACGGTTGTCATTTTTCTGTGTGGACCGGAGGTGGGCAGGCCACCGCCCACCAGCCACTGTTTTTGTACGTAAAGTTTTATTGCAACACAGCCATGCCTGTGTGTTTTCTCACTACCTAGGGCTGCCTTCGGACCACAGGCAGGTTGGAGTACTTGCAACAGGGACCCCATAAAATCCAGACTGTCTGTCCCCTACCCGGGCCTTCATAGACAAAAATGTGCTGAGCCCTGATACAGACGAACTGTAACTGCTGGGTTTTAAAGCCCCAGTGATTCTTACTATTCTCTCTGAATTGTAGCTGAGGAAATGCAGTTCCCAGACCTTGGTGGTGGTTAATGCGATCACCTGATGTCACGCCCATGTAGTTAGCAGCACACCAAGGTCTGCTTTGGTTTTAAATCAGTAGATTCAGTCCCACTTTCAGAATGACGGTAAAAAAACAATGCAGCAGATTTAGTTTTTTGAAGTACACGTGTCTTTTTCTATCCTTCCAGAGTTTTTGCATGTCTGTCACTGTCCTAATCCATGTAGTGATCTAGGTTTTCTGGCTAATTAATTTTCAGCTTAGAACTCGCAGCGTGCACCATAGTGGTATACTGTGGTGTACCTATCACGCTGTTGGTAGGTGGTGGATGACGCCGCAGTGAGTGTTTCTCAGGGTGCAAGGATGTGAGTCCCCACGGGAAGGGCATCGGGGTGGGTGCAGCAGCGACCCAGCCCTGGAAACGGACCGAGTTCTGCAGACCTTCTGCGGAAGAACAGCTGAAGGCTGGGGCTCCGGCCGCAGGCGGGCGGCCCGCTGTGGAGAAGGCACTCAGTGGGAAGGGTCCCGGGTGGGGTATCGCCTGTTTGGGGAGGCGCTCGGACTTCCGTCCGGCAGCTGTCGGTGTGAAGAAAGACGTCTACACTCAGCCTGATCCTAGCTCGTGGGCTCTGAAATAGTGGACCAAGGTGCCAACGCACTGATTCGAGGACCAGACAGATGTTTCCATTTTCTGTTGCTGCGTGACAGATTGTCCTGACCTAGCAGCCCGGAACAAGACGCACTTATCATCTCGCGTTTTCCACGGGTCAGGAGTCAGCCACTGCGTAGGTGGGTTCTCTGCCCAGGGTCTGGAAAGCCTGAAATCAGGGTGTCCTGGTGACTTACTCCATAAATTAATATGAGGTGGTTTTGTCCAGTGATTGGAGCAGCAGAGGAAAATAGACACTTAAAACAGTAAACATGTTTGCGTGTGTATATTCTGGGAGGAAAGTAGGCAGCTGAAAACCAACTATTAAAAGCTTTGAATTTACGTTAAATCTTCACCGAACAGTCTGAAATTTGGATAGAACAGGCCCTTGTCACCTGATACAAAGGAGGAAGTCATACTTTCATTTGGAAGAACAACAAAAAGGTTTTCCTCTTTGCTCTATCATGGGTGCCTCCAACCTGCCAGGTGTTGCCAGGTGCGTGAAATGCCGTGTCAGGGGAAACCGATGAACAGGGGAGAGTCACACCCCCCTGCACAGCCGTGTCCTGGCACGCCCCTGCCGTCCACCCGGGAAACCGAGTGTTCTCCATAAGCTTCCGACACACGTGGGCTAGCCCCTCTGTTGGTCCCGGTGTGTGAGCTGTGCAGTGAGCTCGGGCTACGGCCGGGTCCCTGCGACGCCTCAGCTCCCTGCAGGCGAGAAAGTGTAGCCGATGACGGAGTCACGCCCTCAGTTACTGAGCATTCTGACCGTCCCTTTGACTCGAGGTCAGGGCTGCACGACACTATAAGTCAAATGCTACTTGTTTCTGCCATGTCTGACGAAAGTTCCAAAAATTATAAATCCTCAAAACAAAAATTAATAGTTTGATCTTTTTTTTAAAAAACCAGTGTTCAGAATCAGGTGGACGAAGTTATTGATGTCATGCAAGAAAATATCACCAAGGTAATCGAGAGAGGGGAGCGACTGGATGAACTCCAGGACAAATCAGGTACGGACCGTTCGTGCGCGGCTCGGTCCTGCTGACCTGGGTCTGCGGGTGGCGCACTGCTCCCGTCGTTCCAGCCAGACTTGGGGCCTTGACTTGGGAAAAGGGTGTTTGGTTCCTGCAGCATTTTAACTGGAGCTCCCTGTACTTTGACTCGTCCTACTGTTTCATCGTTTCTTTAATTGATCAGTTGAGAATGGAATAGACTTTTTTAAACAAAAAACCTGTTTAACCTCTTTTAAAATTCCTTCTTTTTTGCTTCTAAATCAGTCGTTCATGGTGTTGTCTAAGAATGTAGCCTCCACGTGGCAATTTTCTCTGTATGTGTGCCAGGCCCTTGAATTGTTAGAGTGTTTCCTTACCGGGGTTCATAAGTCTGCCTGACGGGCCTGCAGCCCTGGAAAGACGTCTTCATCTTGTTGTAGCAGTAGATGGAGGGCACTGACCGGCAGTGACCGTGCTTTTGAGGGGTTTTCAGCGCACAGAACGTCAAAGGGCGTGGGCGGAAGAAAGGGAGGGCACGGTGTTCACGTTTAGAAGGGAATGCGTTTGCAGAAGTAGAAATCAATATCTTCTTGTCTTTGCGTGACTGGAGAACAGAATCCTGTCTTGTCGTTTAATCCTCCTCCCCACCCTCTCTGTGATGCAGAAAGCTTATCGGATAACGCAACTGCTTTCAGCAACAGATCCAAGCAACTGCGCCGGCAGCTGTGGTGGCGTGGATGCAAAGTGAGTACCCGGGATGCGGCCGATGGGAGGGGCCGGCCAGCCGCATGGTGCGCAGGTGTGACAGGGCCTGGCGGTTACAGCCGCCTCGCTTTCCGTCAGGTGTTCTGAGCCCCTGCCAGACGGGGGCTCAGTGAGTAGTTGTTGGGTGAACTCACGGTCTGGGGGCACGGGCGACTGAAGAAACCAGGCAGTGCCCAGAAGGATGGGTTCGCGCACGTCTTCACAGGAGGCTGTCCACGGGTTATGAACAAGTTAGCTACCTCTCAACTCACAAGAAACACTAGTTTTTCTTACAATTTGATGTTGGCACCTTTGGGAACAGCCTGTAGCATTACATACAGATATTAAGATAAAGTGAAAGCTAGAGAAAAATGGGATTTTGTAAATGGGGCGTAAAAGCAGATTATATGTCAGATTATGGCGAGTATGGCCAAGAAGAAAATTCCTCTGTCCCTCATTATTCCAGAGAAATGAGAAATAAAAAGGAAATTTCTAAAAAGGAAAAGTGAGAATTGTTATGTACTGATATGTTTCTGCAAAACGTTCTATCGAACTGAATTTACTTCTTAAACCAAGGAATGGTTACTAATCATTAAACAGAAAATGCCCCTCTTAAAACTTTCCAGCATAGGAGCAAATCTTTCCTTTCCCCCCGATTCTGGGTATCATTTCTGGCATTGTTGAAATCTTAGGCATCAATTGATTGTTTTTTAGTCTCTCGTTTTCAAGTTTGGCGGTAAGTTTCTGAAACTGGCCTTCACGCGTGCTGAGGGTTTCTCCAGGCTTCGCCCCGGGTTCACTCACTATGGTCTGCCTGCCCGTGGCGGCCCCGCCCCGTGCTTTCGGGGACGGAGCCTAGGAAAGAAACGTGTCCCGTCCCCCACTTGTCTAGAATTTACATTATCTATTTTAAATTCTTGAAAAAAATAAATTTCCTATTTTCGTCAGATGTCTATCTCTATAGAAGTTTTCTGTTTCGTACACTAGCTTGGAAGAACACAACAGGTCCGTGAGCCATTCACATCCTCCCCCTCCCCGCCCCTGCGACCCAGGCGCCTGGTCCTGGAAGGGTGTTCTCGGAGGGGGCCTTGGTGGGCGGGGAGGGCACCGACTGCCCTTGCAGGGTGCCCGCCCGGTGGGGCCGGGGCCGAGGGGGGAAGCTGCCAGCCCAGGGGCTTCGGCAGCAGCGACACCAGCGGTGCTTTTCCCTGTGGGTCTGCCGAGACGCCGCGCGTCAGCGGGGCGCACTGCGAGTGTTTGGGGAGAAGGTGGAAACTGCTGTGAAATTCCAAATACTTCAGAAACATTTTCAGGTTAAATAAGAGAAGTGAAGCTTCCCTGTATTCTCTGAATCACTTTGCTGGGGAAGTATTTCAGTTTATAGTCTGAGGGGGACCAGGCAGGTACTGGAAATGTCCCTCCCATGTCCGTCTGATCTGCGTCTGTTTCTACGGTTTTCGGTTGTCATAATTGATAACCCTAGTAGGTCCCTGGTGTCCACATTGCAAAGTGTCCCTGTGTCTTCCGGTCACCTCGTTCTTGCCCCGAGTGTTACAACCGCCACTGTGTCACCAGTAGTTCCGCTTACACACAGCTCACTGGCTGCTTGCGGCTGCTGCTGCTGGTGGTGAACAGCCACGTGTTCACCGAGACTGGGGATCTTTTCTTCTGAATGAACTGCCTTCAGTCAGTTACGTGTGAAAATCTTTGATGAAAATAAGACTTTCATTTGACTTCATCGGGAAAATCAAGTCAATTCATAATCCGAGCACTTTAGGATTAAATGAGGAATGTGATGACATCGTAGAGAGAAATGACGTGAGCTCAAAATGTCACTCAGCTCACTGGGGCCTGGTCTTACGGTTCCTCCGCTCAGCTGCGAAGCTGACTCACCGTGCTCTCAGCCAGGTCATTCACGACGACGGAAGGTTGTTCATGAAGAATCTAAGTTCTCTTCTACAGAACAGAGATTCGGCCACCAAGGAGAAAGCAACAGAAACTAACAGAATTCTCCTGTACTTTGAGAACAGTGCTACAAAAATGACGCCTTGAACTGTGTACACTAAGTCATTTGCGTCGGATGCTTTTTAGCGGAGTTGGTAGAATGCCGTACTGCTCCTGGTCTCCTAGGGGAAGTAAGTGCAGGGAGTCACAGACACAGCGTGCAGGCCCGAGAAGGCCGCGATCGGCGCTGTTCACTGTGCTGTGAGCCCTCGAACAGCAGAACCCCGGCAGGCAGAGCCGTCAAACCTGGGGAGCCCCGGTTACTAACTAAAGACACACATGGCTGGCAAGTGCATGTGGAAAAGGTTTGAAAACCTTTCCAGGGATGAGCCTGTCCACTGAGGAGAGTGGGACACGGTGGCTGACACAACAGTCAGTCTCGTGAGCAAGGTCAAGGTCAGTGTTAACGTCTTCCCTCTGCCTCTCGTGTGTTGCAGATAAAAGTCATCGTGGCTCTGGTTGCTGGTATCCTTCTGTTGGTGATCATCAGTAAGTATCCACTGGGCTGTTAACTTGGGGGACTGTCGTTTGATTCGGAGCTTAATTCCCTTTTACTGTATCGTCAGTCGACCTGGTGCGGCCGTCGGGGTTAACCAGTGACTTCCGGCCCGAGGCCGGAGCGCTCGGCCCAGACCCGGCCCAGACCCGGTCGCTCTCTGAAGTGGCCCCTGAGTCAGCGCAGGGCCCAGCGCTTTGTGCTCTGTTCGTGGGCAGGCACGGCTGCTGTTACCCCAGGGCCACGTCACCCACTTTCCGTTTGTCAGCGACGCTCAGGCGCGCAGCCTGTACTTAAAACCGTGTTGGAAGGGCAGATCCAGATCAATTCCCCAGGTGGATGTTTTTGTCTCGTTTCCATTTTGGAATTGAGCTTGAGCTTGATTTCAGTCTTTAATGTCCTTGATGTTCTCTTTAGAGTAGGGTTCTCTTTGACCCCTCCTTCTCTCCAAGGCCCCTTTGCCTGTGTTTATAGGGACCGCATGAGGATTTGGAGAGTGCCTCAGAATAACCATTTGACAAAGCCCGTGCTAATACTCTCCTTTTAGAGGGAAAAGAGGTTCGTGACAAAGAAACAGGGCTGGTCCGAGTTCACCCCGTAGCGCCCACGCTGACTTGGAGCCCCGGCGGGGGCTTCAGCCCCTTTCACGGCCACGGCGTCCCGAGCAGTGAGAAGTGGGGTCCCTGACAGGCACGGTGCCCACGCACAGACGTCTGACGCGGCCGTGCCCTGCCTCCCGGCCCCACTCCCCGAGGGTCAGCAGCTGTCCCTCGGAGTCCAGGCCGCGCACGCTCCTCGCAGTGCTGCGCGTGCCGCCGGTGGTTTCCCTGTTCCCAGTGGCGCTCCGGTGCAGCGCCGAAGCCCGTCCCGCACGGCTAAGTGCAGGGCTGTGAGCGCCCCGAGGAGGAGGCCGGTGGTGCCACAGGCTGCCCCGAGGCCTGGGTTCGAGTGCTGCTGGCCGGGGGGAGGTCAACGCGACTGAGTCAACAGTGCGTATTACGTAAGGTGCCTTTAAGCAGAAACGCACGCCGGATAGGGTTATGTGTTGGTTGGTTGACAGAATGTGGCACCCAGGGGCACGCAGGAATTTAACCCCGCGTGTCTCCTGGGGGCCATGGGCAGTGGTCCCTGACTCCAGTGTGTGTGTGGTGACTTTACAGAGCAGAACAACTGCAGACACCAAGAACCGACACAGACTAGGGTGGTGGTAAACAGAAAAACTTCCATGGCCAAAGATTTTCACAAACAAAGGATTTTTTTTTTAAGATTTTATTTATTTTCAGAGAGGAAAAGGGAGGAAGAAAGACAGGGAGAGAAACATCAACGTGTGGTTGCCTCTCACACGGCCCCCACTGGGGACCTGGCCCATAACCCAGGCACGTGCCCTGACTAGGAATTGAACCTGTGGCCCTTTGGTTCGCAGGCCAGCGCTCAATCCACTGAGCCACACCAGTCAGGGCTCCCATGTAATTTTAACATATCAAAGAGGCCTGATTAGTTTAATTTCCCTTTTTGTAAAGAAAAAAATTTTCTTTGAAATATTTCAGAGATCCTTTCACTGAGATGGCGAAAAAGTCCGTTTAGTTTTTTCCATAAAATAAAAGACGTATTTTTCATTTTCACCAATAACTTCATTGATTTGGATATTTTGAGTATGTTGGCTCTCTCCCACCACTGGCTTCTAGTGGGCAGAGGCCGGGGTGCTGCCAAACATCTTCCAGTGTGTGAGACAGCCCCACAGCAGAGAATTTGGCCAAAATGTCAACAGTACCAAGAGGCGTCACAAACCACTTTTGACACTTGATCAGCCACAGCACCTTCTCCATACACTGCATAAATTTTTTTTTGGCATTTCAGGTGTTTTTTTTACCTTCCTTGAAATAATAAAGCATAATACACTGAATATGTTGCACATTTTCTTCCATCTCCAGTATTAAAATGGCTGCACAAAAATTCACCAATTTTTCGGTAAGTTTTTTTCAAACGCACGCCCATAGGACAGCCGTCACAACACAACCTAACAACACTTTCAGATGAAGTCAGGCACAGCTGAGTGCTCCTAGGGCCACCGTAGGAAGAGAACATGACAGACTTCTTGGCCACCCCAAAAGATAAAACCCCACACCAGGGGCGTCAAACTCATGCCCCCCGGGGGCCACGCCAGCCTCCCGGTTGCCTTCAAAGGGCCGGATGTAATGTTAGGACCGTGGGAGCTCGGCACTGCCGTCGGGTAGAAGCAAGGTGCCGGGCCGGTAAAACAAGGTGGGGGGCCGGGTTCGGTCCACGGCTTTGTGTTTGCCCGCTGTGCCCTACACGACTCAGCCCCACGTTTCACAGGTATAGGTATAGGTATAGGTATAGATACAGGTATAGATACATAGATATCAGTGGCTCCGGTTCTTCCCGAAGAGGAGCCAGGGGAGGTTTTGGCATTTTGACTCCCATAATTTAAAAGTTTAGTTCTCAGCCCGCTAAAGCCGAGAAACTGGTTTGGGCCTGACTTGTGCTTACGAGTGAGTGCTGCTCCCTAGGTTGGCGGCTGCTCTCCCACGTGACTCAGGGCCCAGGCACCACACGGTATTCAGTGGGGACCCGGTACTGGGCGACCAAGCCAAAAACGCCCCATCTAACCCTGAAACTGGGGGTTGGTTTTCTGCCGGGGACCCTATGAGACAGCTGCACGTCTCAGACAGTGAGTCCACACACTTCTGCAAAGGTTTCTAGTCACGTGGAAACACCCTTAGTGGGTCAGAAGGCACAGTGGTCTCTGTTCTTTGGAGTGAAAATCACCATCCTGTGTATAATGTCAGAGTTACAGTCTAATGGCATTGGTCCGCCAGAGAACCCAAACTGTAATTATATCAAATGGCCACAAGTGGTCACTATAAGCTCAGTTACCAGGGAAAAAAATGAAACTCAAAACTTAAGACGGTACTGGCAAATACCACAATAATAATAAAACGGACTTCAGGGTATCCCCTGGTAACTCACCAGTCAGCCGAGGGAACCCCTCCTGGCACCAGTGAGACGTGTCCTGGGCAGCCTGTCACGGAGAAGTCAGACGAGGGTTAGCCCTCCACACAGCACCGCACCAGAAGGACCCCCTCCCCTGTGGAGGGGTTACCCCCCACCCCCTGCCGGGCCCAGGGAAGCTGTGCGCTTGCACCTCAAGGGGCGGCTGTGGGGCCCAAGCCTTCCGAGGGGCCAGAGGGGGGTCACAGTGGGACCGCCGTGGGTGCCACCCTCGTCTCCAGAGAGTCCTGGCCCCTTCTGCACCTCGAAAAGATCGAATTCTCTCCTGACAAGAGGTGCTAAACACACACACATGCGGCTGAAAGCTTCTCACGAAGAAAGGGTTGATTGAGCCAAATGCTCGCCAGAAGAGGGACGTCCTGGGGCCACGCCCTGCCAACCACAGCAGCCGTCCCCGCCAGAGGTGCTGTCCTGTCCCTCCCTCCCGCCTGCTGTGGCTCAACTAGGGACATCTCAGAACCTTCTCCTTGTCAGAGGAGAGGTCGGAGAATGTGGAATAGCATAGATAAGAAAGAATTCAACTGTGATCTTACCACACACAGGTAGTTACTGTTAATATATTATACACATACACACACACACACACACACACACACACACTCTCTTTTCCTCTTAACATATAAACATGGTTTTCAAAAACTAAGATTATTTACTTAACTTTCTTATTAATATACTAGAAAATGTTCCCACCCTGGATGGTGTGGCTCAGTGGAGTGAGCCCCACCCTGAGAGCCAGAGCCACCAGTTTGATTCCCCATCGGGCCACGTGCCTGGGTGGAGGGCCAGGTCCCCACATGGGGACCTGTGAGGGGTACTTGGTCCATGTTTCTCTCCCTCTCATTGTCTCTCCTTCCCTCCCTTCTCCTCTCTCAAAAAATAAAACCTTCTTAAAAATAAATATTTTCCTATGTTATTAAATATTTTTAAAAATACAGGGTCCAGCAGGAGTCAGGCCTGCTTGAGTGTGGTTGGTAGGATACATGGATGTCTCACACGAGATGGACAGCAGTTTGAACATTTCGCCTACAATGTCATAGGGTGTGCTTGAGTGTGATATTGCTGTGTTACAGAACCACATGCTTATGCTTTTGTAATAAAGATTCTTATGTAATAAAAAGGGGCGTTATTCGTGCCAGACCCCGTGTCTCGGCGGCTGCATGCCAAGGTTCTGCCGTAATCTGATCCAAAGGCCACTGTCAGACGTGCAGGTGGCTTTGCGGTGTTTTCGCCTCTCCGTTCCCGTTCGCCCTCTGCCCTCTCGGCGCGAAGCCCGGTCCTCGCTGCCCGCCTCCAGAGCCGGCTGCGGCTGCGGCTGCGGCTGCGGCTACACTCCCGCTGTCACAGCCTTCTCATGGGGCACGTGGGCCGGTGCTGACATGTTCCTCCTCGTTTCTCTTCCCTTGCAGTTCTTACCGTTATGAAATACCGCACCTGATTTGATGACGGAGGTCCTCGTCAAACAAAATCTGGGACAAGAAGAATACTAGTAAATGGCTGCATAATTTAAATGAAACACATGTATATAACTTTCAGAACTTCTTCGAGAAACCTTTAAGGGGCACCTATCACTTCAAATTGGAGCACTGAGAACGTCCATCCCTTCTTCCGTTCTGGCGGAGTGTGCTTTTCACGATCGCGTCGCAGGCCGAGACCACCAGCCTCTGCTCCGCCGTAGTCCGAGGGTCTAACTGGAAACCGGACACTTGCCGGTTGACTGTGTCTGCGGTTAACGGTGCTTCGGGCTGTGGGCCTCCGTGGCACGGGGACTGGACTCAGGCCTGGGCCGGTGCGCTCGCATTCAGGCGGGGCGGGGGGAAGCCCACGTAGCCATCCCATCAGCGTCCGCGAGACTGTTCTCACGTTACTACAGCTGCTCTGCAAGCCGTCTCCACACGCTTGCGGGTGTAACAAAAGCTAAGTGTTGTGAACGCCGTTGCCTTGGGCTACAACCGAAAACATTCCAGTAAACCTATTTTGGGCTGTATAAGGGGACGTGTAGTAATTTTCTGGAATTGGAATTGTGGAAATGGGGGTTTTAAACAGTGTGAAAAGCGTCATAGCACGGCACCGTAAAATTGGGCATAGTCACTGGAGGAGGTCATCGTAGGTTTTGGAAATGTCCATCATCCAGCCGCAAGTCAGGGTCCGTCTCCCAGTCGGCCTCCGATGAGGGGGGGCTGATCCCGATGCACGTGAACGAAATCCACAGGCAACTCACACCCCAAGGTCATTGTCACTGGCCCTTGTCCCTGAAGTGCTAACGGCAGCAAAACGGCCTGCTGGGAGTCTGCTGGCGTTGCGCTCCCCGATGGAACCCTGCAGACGGGTGCTTGCCGAACCCTCGAGTGTCGGGGCAGCCGACGGGAGTGACTGTCGAGTCAGGAGCCTGGGGATGTCCCTCGGTCACTGGCCAAACGCCCGGGTCCTCATTAATCCAGCCCGGTTTTGTAACAAGAAGACGAGTTAACTAACACGGAACAGCCGAGTCAGAGTAAAAGTAAATCCTCCTGTGGGGAAGCTCTCGTCCTGAAATCGGAGGTTCTCCAGAAACACGCACGCCTGGACCTCTTGACGTGTGACCAGGACTCTGAATTTGAAACGGGCTAACAGAAAATGCCAGTATTTATAAGGGGGAAGTGATCCTAGATAGGCGTTATTTCTTCGGTCATTTTAATCCAAAATGTATCAGAATCTTTAAAAAAAAAATTCTACCAGACCAGCACTAAGAAGCAAAAATGTTCTGTTTAGGAAGAATTTTGAAGGGAGGAAGCAGAGTAAGAGATACTCAAAGACACCTGCAAGTTATGAAAATTTCAACCTGATTGCTGAATTGGACGGCTCACCGAGAACATTCAAAAAGACTGGTAGGACTGGTAAGATTGGTCTCACATGCGGTGAGTGCTGTGTCGGGTCCCGCCACTCTTTGTAAATGTCAGCTAATGTAAATAATGTAATAAATACTGAATCTTCTGACAAAAGAGGATGCCCAGGAAAAGGAGCATTTTTAGGATGTCAGCAGTGACTAGAGGGCAGCGGTGGAAATGTCTCAGCCGGATGGACAGAATCAGCCCTAACGTACGTAAGTCCTTCTTTGGGGTTTTGGGGTTCAGCACTGGACTCCTCAGTGGTTCATCTTCCATTAGTTGGTGTAGAAATCTGGTTTCTTGCCTGTCCATGAAGATGATTATTTCTTTTTAAAAAAATCAAATTTCCCTTGTTTCTTTTAATAAAGTATGTTACTTTTAAAGAAATTTAAGAGAAGAAAATTATAAAATTATTTTTAAAAATTTTAACCATAAATAAAGGAAATATTTATATGCAACATCGTATGCATGTCGTTCTCTGCACTTAAATGCGCTGCCCTGGGGCCCTGGGGTAGACATGTCGCTGCGAGAGCTTCGCGCTGGTGGCGTTGGGGTCATCGCCTCACCCTGAGACCCCGGAACTGGCCGGCGTGTTCAGGACATGTTACCGTGGTAATCTCGGGGACATGGCCCCCCTTAAAGTCAAAAGCAGAAGAAAACACAGTGTTCAGAGTGTCGCCAGGCCTCCCTCCCTTCCCGCCCTCAATCATTCTTTTTCCCCTTCAGCTCAGACGGTCCTGCACTTGAAGAATGAAGTTGTCCCACCATCAAAGCTAGGGTTACTCAACAGCAACGGAGATGCACAGAAAAATCCAAGTAGCTTTGTAAATGCTGGTTGGTACCCAGTGAGATCAGGTCACGGCTTGTGTAATGCCTGAAACACACCCTCCTCCTCATGGTTCGTGTTTATCTAGTTATTGAAGCTGATTCCGCAGCAGCTCCGTGAGGATGATACTGACTAATTAGCTCTTCCTTAATACCTGGTCTTTTGGTTCCTCTGCCATGGTAAAGCTCACTGGAAATTGCCCTCCAATTTTATAAACGGCAATTTTTTAAAAAATGATTTTTTTTCGAGAGAGAGAAAGAGAACCCTTGCTCTGTTGTTCTACTCACCCATGCCCTCATTGGTTGCTGCTTCTGTGTGCCCTGACCAGGGATCGAACCCACAACCTTGGCATGTCGGGATGATGCTCTAACCAACCGAGCTCCCTGGCCAGGGCTAAGCCTGGGGACGTCCTGACTAAAGGCAAGTTCCACACTGAAGCGGGACATTACGTCGGTGGAGGGAGAGTAATCTGCCCACATCACATGGAGACACGCCTAGTGTTGGCTCTCCTGGGGAGTGCTCATTATTACCGGTCTTCCTGTGCAGTCCCTCAGCACTCGAAAATTATAACCTCGGCATTTTATAGCAAAAACGGGCATCTTGGAAGTCTCTGCGGCATGCAGGTGTCCTGAAAACGACCGCCCGTGTGCAGGCTGAGGAGGCAAGAATAAGAAGAAACTGGATGTTCTCACTGCCCACAAGCTCTTCCCCGGGCCTGACGCCCTGTCGGCACCGTCGGCCCGCGCTCGCGAGTCTGCAGCTCTGTGCACGTTCGCTGCGGTGAGGAAAGTGTGAGGTTGGTGAGGATGAATGCCCTCAGATGTCCCTCACTGAAACAGGGTCAGCATTACCCAGTCAAGGCTAACTGACTCTTCCGTTGGTCTAGTTTTGCTTTCCCGTGGAAATGGGATTGGGGGCTGTGTCGGTTTTTCGGTGAGTGCGGAGTAAGGGCATGGACCGATCGGAGCGGACAGAGGTCTACTCTGGAGACGGTGCAGTGCCTGCGTCTGCCCAGGAAGGCGCCACAGCCGTGTGAAGACACCGGGTCCCAGGACTGACGGGTGTCCTCCTCCTCAAACCGTCTCCTGGGCTTTCCGTGTCGTAGACAAACGGACTCATCCCACAGACTGACGTAGGGTTCTCAAGGTTGGTCCTCTTCTGGCTTTTTCTGAAAACCAAGTAGAATAGGGACAGGGGACACAAACCCTTTCATCCTGGCTCCTTTCTCTAAAAAGCTGCTTGGAACAAGTCCATAGGAACTGAAAGCGTGACCGACCCAGCCACGGTCAGAGCGAGCCTGTGACAGGGAGAGCCACCCGCCTGTCTGCGTCCCCACCGCCCCCTGCATGGTACTACAGCCCCGGCTGTTGCTAGGTGAGAAATGACAAACACCAGGGCCCTCCAATGTCAGCTAGATGCCACGCCCATGGTCCCCCCTGCAGAGATGACACAACTGACGTGATAGTGGCCCTTGGCCTTTTACAGCAACGGGGTGAGGGAAATTCTGATTTTACAGTGTTCCGCCAGGTTCTTTTCAAGGGGAGAGGCTCGTAACCAAAAACCTGTGAGTTATTCTCAAACTACAGAGTCAACGGCGTCAATCAGAGATTGTAGCCAGCAAAGAGTCAGAAATTAAACTCTAAGAAGAGCCAAGCACTTGATTTGATGCCGTGGGTAAATGTCATTGTTTCACACCCTGCCGTTTTTTTCTCTAACAATTCCGACGAGTGCCTTGGATGCCTTAAGATGTGCGGTGGGAGATGAGCCACGTGGACGTCGTGGGCCCTGTTCTCCAGCTTCTCGACCATTTTCACCGCTGTTGCAAAGTTTCATCCTTGTATTCACATCAGATACGTATCTGTAGCCCTTGCATAGTAAACAGTGACACAGACTATTTCATAGGAAACAAAGTGCAACCCTTTGACTTAGTCACTGCGTGTGACCTGTTGCCTTAACTTCAAAGCATAGCTTGTTTCAAATAACACGTGGGCCCTGGCTGGTGCGGCTCAGTGGGCTGAGCGCCAGCCTGCGAACTGAAAAGTCATAGGTTCAATTCCCAGTGAGTACACAGGCCACAGGTGCCGCAGAGCGGGGCCCAGGGCAGGGCACCGACCCTCTGTGTTGGCTGGGAGGGCTAGATCTCACCGCGCATTCTAAAAAGATGCACGTGGGGCGCCAGAGCACACTGTCACAGCACGGGAGGGGGCGTCCTGGGCATCCCAGCAACGTACGAGTAAACCATTGTGTCTCCTCCTGGAAACGCCCCAGCCATCTCTCGTCAACCAGAAGCTTCCCCTGGTAGCTTCTCCCTCTTCTCTTGGCTCCTCTCCACAGCAATAGTCCTCGAAAACTATGTGCGTACTTGCTGTCTTTCCTTCTTTGCTCATTCTCATGAACACTCGCTGACCTCACTCCTGTCACGGGCACCAGTAACCTGGCTAAATCCAGAAGGGTGGAAATGATTCTTCTCACTGGAATCCATGCCTCTGCTCAAAACTCACCAGCGACTTTCCATCTTTAGAATAAAGGCCACACCCTCTCAGCGGCCTACAAGTCTCTCATGATGTATCCCCATGGGATGCTTGTGACCTCCTGGCCTGCCTCCTGTCGCCTCCTCACTGTGCTGCAGCCTCGCGGCCTCCTCCCTACTCAGCAAGCACACCCCAGGCCTGCTCCGGCCTTGGAGAGGACTAGGGGATAGAGTGATTATTGGGTGGGCTGAGAAGTTGGCTTAGTTTTTTCCATGAAATAGACATTTTTCATTTTCAACAGTAACTTTATTGATTTGGATATTTGAGTATGATAGCCATCTCCCGCGTGGTATAACATTGATTGTTCTCAGTTAATGTCTTGATTTGATTGCTGTCAACTTCAACTGGTCTACCCAACCTGTGGGGCACCTTCGAATGAGAAATCTCTGGCACAGAACTTTCGCAAACCACTTTTGACACATTCAGTCAGTCACAGCGCCTACCCCATACACTGCACAAAGGTGTTTGTGTTTCAGTTGCGTTTTTGCCTTTCTTGAAATAATAAAGCACAATACACTGCAAATGTTGCATATTTTCTTCCAACTTCAATATTAAAATGGCTGCACAAAAGTTCACCGATTTTGATTTTTTTTTAATGCACGCAGGTATGACAGCTGTCACAATACAACCTAACAAAATTGTTTCAAATGATGTACGTTAAAGACAACTAAGTGCTACTAGAGCCATTGTACAGAAAAACCAGATGAACTTTTTGGCCAACCCAATATAAGGACTTTGGAATGGGGTGCCTACTGCCAAACACCATTCATGGCTTTCAAAAAGGAAAGTGACAAGTACAGGCACCCAATCGTGAATTTAAAGCAAAATGTGACAATGAGCGAGAGACTTCCTTGGAAGTCTCTAAGGAGACCCTCATTTCCCGAAGTTGAAGACCCGGCCCAGGGCTTCAAGGAATGCCTCCTGAGCCGGGGCAAGTCTCCGATGCCAAAGTCAGGGTCCTGGTGGGGCAGGAGCAGGACCTCGAGACTTGGGGCGGAGTTGTCTGCGCAGATACACTGGAGAATCCTGAATCCTCAGGTTCCCCAGAACTTTCTGGGCCTGCAGAAATGACCCAGTCTCCCTTGTCAAAAGACAAAGCTTCCTCCCCACCTCAGCTTCCGCTAGCTCGCTAGCTCGAGGCAAGTGCCTGACAAGACAAAGCTGGCCCATCTCAGACCCACCCCCGCCTTCCTGCCTGGCCAATCAAGGCTCAGGAGAGATTTAACAGGCCTGCCCAGCATTTGCACAGGTGACCGGTGGCAGCCTGGAAGCTGGAAGCCCAAGAGAAATCATTCACCAGATCCTTCAAGCAGCACCGCCTTGCACAAAGCTGTTTTCCTTCACAACTAAATTCTGACAACTCCCACTGAATCTGCTTTGTCCATTTTCACGGTCCAGACACAGGGGCACCAGGCGATCGAATCTGCTTGCAAAGTGTCACAAGCTCAGATTAAACCACTACCCAGCCTGTTTTCCCGATCAGTCCTCTCTCACCAGCAGAACTGGCCA